TTCTCCATATTTATGAGTCTCTTTTGTTTTGTCCCCCTCCCTATCATTATAATTTTTATATTATTTTTGTTTCCTTTCCCTTATGTTCATCTGTTTTGTCTCTTAAAGTCCTCATATGAGTGAAGTCCTATGAATTTTGTCATTCTCTGACTAATTTCACTTAGCATAATGCCCTCCAGTTCCATCCACGTAGTTGCAAATGGCAAGGGTTCATTCTTTTTCATTGCCAAGTAATACTCCATTGTATAGATATACCACCTCTTCTTTATCCATTCATCCATCGATGGACATTTGGGCTCTTTCCATACTTTGGCTATTGTTGATAGTGGAGTATTGACATTTTAACAATATTTATTCTTCCAACCCATGAGCATGGAATGTTTTTCCATTTCTTTGTATCTTCTTCAATTTCCTTCATACGTTTTCTTTAGTTTTCAGCATACAGATCTTTTACATCTTTGGTTAGGTTTGTTCCTAGGTATTTTATGAATCTTGGTGCAATTGTGAATGGGATCAGCTTCTTTATTTGTCTTTCTGTTGCTTCATTATTGGTGTATAAAAATACAACTGATTTTGTACATTAATTTAGTATCCTACAACTTTGCTGAATTCATGTATCAGTTCTAGCAGACTTTTGGTGGAGTCTATCAGGTTTTCCATGTATAGTATCATGTCATCTGCAAAAAGTGAAAGGCTTGACTTCATCTTTGTCAATTATGATGCCTTTGATTTCCTTTTGTTGTCTGATGGCTGATGCTAGAACTTCCAACACTACGTTAAACAACAGCGGTGAGAGTGGACATCCTGTTGTGTTCCTGACCTCAGGGGGAAAGCTCTCAGTTTTTCCCCATTGAGGATGATATTAGCTGTGGGCTTTTCATAAATGGCTTTTATGATGTTTAAGTATGTTCCTTCTATCCCGATTTTCTCAAGGGTCTTCATTAAGAAAGAATGCTGAATTTTTCAAATGCTTTTTCTGCATTGATTGACAGGATCACATGGCTCTTATCTTTTCTTTTATTAATGTGATGTATCAAATTGATTGATTTGCGAATATTGACCCAGCCCTGCAGCCCAGGAATGAATCCCACTTGATCATGGTGAATAATTCTTTTTATATGCTGTTGAATTCAATTTGCTAGTATCTTGTTGAGAATTTTTGCATCCATATTCATCAGGGATATTGGCCTGTAGTTCCAAAACTCAAACGGGAAGTACTTCCAAAACTCAAGTACTTGCAAAACTCAAATGGGAAGAAACAAAATTTTAACAGACCCATAACTAGTGAAGAAATTGAATCAGTTATCAAACATCTTCCAAATAAGAGTCCAGGACCAGATGGCTTCCCTGGGGAATTCTACCAGATATCTAAAGCAGAGATAATACCTTTCCTTCTCAAGTTGCTCCAAAAAATAGAAAGGGAAGGAAAACGTCCCGACTCATTCTATGAAGCCAGTGTTACTTTGATTCCCAAACCAGACAGAGACCAAGCAAAAAAAGAGAACTACAGGCCAATATCCCTGGAAATTTATTAAAGTGGCAAGAATGGAGATTGTTATAGCAGTGAGAGATGGTGGTGGCTGTACAAGGTGATAGTGAGGATGGAGAGAAATGAATGGATTTGAGATATGTTTTGGAGACAGACTGTTTAGAGTCTGCTGATAGTTTTGCTAGGAATAGTGGAGAAAATCTATCTTTAATATGATCACAATACTAAACTTTTTTTTTTTTTTTTTTTTTTTTTTTTTTGGAGAGAGAGCATGAGTAGGGGAGGGGTAAAAGGAGAGGAAGAGAGAGAATCTTAAGCAGGCTCCACACCCAGCATGGAGTCCAATGCAGGGCTTGATCTCATGACCATGAGATCATGACCCAAGCAGAAATCAAGAGTCAGAGATTTAACCCACTGAGCCACAAAGGTGCCCCTAAACTTGTTAATACATAATCACTTTTCTGTGGTTCACAGGAACTAAACAGCTCACAACTTAAAAAAATAAAAAAATTAACTCTTTGGACTTCTTAATCTTTTCATAATTTTTCATAATGGGCCTTTAATATCTTTCATAATTAGAAAAAACCTTATTAAAAATTACTACAAAAGGATTAACAACATCTTGGATCCATACTGCTTCTTGGTCGTAAGAACTCAATGGATCTTCAATTCATTATCTTAGTTTGTCTTTCCAATTCTCACTAGAACAAGAAGAAACTAAAACTCGCTGCCAATTTGGTAATACTTCCAAGTAAAAGAAAGCTAAATTTCAAAATGAAATTCACAGAAATGAAGAGTCCCTCTGCTCATAACCTCGTCCATTTGGAATTTGCAGAACAACCCCAAATGATTGTCTTAAGTTATGAAATTCATCTCAGGAATTTAATCTTTAATTATCTCTGTTTTTATGAAAACATGAAGCTTCAGTTAAGGTAAAACATAGCAAGGTTTGCTACCCAGTGTAAATTTAAGGAAGTAGTTTACAACCATATCCTTACTGTTCATTGGTTAAAAGTTTCCTTATTAGTAAAAGTTAAAAACAATGTTGGTGGCTGCTTGGCCTTTTGTAGTTCACACATTTGGAAAAGGCTCACCAGTAATTAGGTTTGAGAGGGATGTGTCTCCTAAGAGGCTTGTTGAGGAGAATTCTGTACACTACACAGTCCCAATGTCACAGAAAGTTATTTCAGGCTGCTTTGAGAACAGTGGTAACAAAGATCCATAAGAGATAAACAGAGAGCCAATACCACTGTGGTTTGGAAAGACATATAAACTGTTTTGGATCTTTATACTTATATACTCTTAAGGCTTTGAAAGCAAAGGTATCATTTTAGCTCTCTGAAGTACTGGAACTTAGAAAAAATCCCACAAACAGAAAAATCTTTTTTTCATCCATAATTTCATGTGTTCAAATCCTGAAGTTACCTCAAATTGCCTCCTTTAGATCAAGAAAGATGCATCATATTTTACTGTAATGTTAAAAAAACAAGAAGCAGGAAAATAGGCATAACATGAGCCCACACATATTTTAAAAGGGAATATATATACTGTATTCATATTGTATAGGAAACATATGACACACATGAAACTAAATATCTTTACTGTGTCATTTATATATTTTAATAGTGCTTTTTTTTTTTAATTTAAAAATTGGTTTAAGAAAGAAGAATCACATTTTAGGACAGTGCATTTGACACTGGTCTTATAATGAGAGAACAACACAACTTAAAATCTTCTTACTCCTTTTTGTATTTGTTTTGAAGAAATGCCCTTATATTTGCTTCTATAGAAATATATCAAGTCAGAATATAATTATGGTTTTATCACTATTTTACTTTATTTTGCTAAACTAACATGAGACCAAAAATGAAAAAGCAATGAATAGATCAAGTGAAAAAGTGCCTAGAACTGTAAAATGAAGCCAGTAATAAAAGATGAGAAAATCAGAGAAAGAAAGAAAAAAACAAAACAAAACAAATAACTAACTTGCCAAACAAGGAAAAGTATTAAATGCAAAAGGTGATTTGGAATCCTGTGCTTAAAACTTGAGGTTCATTTTTTTAGGAGCACTGGTATCTTTATTATTTTTAATATTATTTTTTATTAAGTTATTTTAATTCCAGTATAGTTAACACTCTTTTATATTAATTTCAGGTATGCAATATAGTGATACGACACTTTCCTACATCACCCAGTGCTTATCACAGCAAGTGCACTCCTTATTCCCAGTCATCTATTTTACCCATCCTCCCACCTCCCTTCCCTCTGATAACCATCAGTTTGTTCTCTATGGTTAAAAGTTTTTTTTTTTTTTTTAAACAAACAAACAAACAAAAAACTTGAGATTCAATTCATACTTACCTATCTAAAGAACCATACATAAATGTTAAGGTTTGGGCAACATCTTTTATCATACTCCTTAGCTGAGGGAGAGGAACTCTAAAAAGAAGAAAAATACATTTGTTCATTTATAACATAACCAAGTGATACATATCTAAAAGAAGCAGAACATCGTTCCATTTTATATGTAAGGAATGTGAAAAGTCTGTGTGTCAACTGCGAGTATGGCTGTGTAAAATGGTTCACTGAATTAGCAACTGAAGACTCTGATATCTAGACTTGGAGTTCTAGCATGGGTCAAATAAGGACTTTATATCACTACCTACGTGGAAATTGTTTATACCTCCTTAGGGTTCGGTTTCCTCATGTATAAAATGGGGGAATAATCACTAAGCCCTTCTCAGGTTCATTTTGAGGATTAAATTAATGCATATAAAGTAGTGCAGTATCTGAGCTCAGAAAAAAATGCTAAATTCTTGACACTTTCCAGTGTTACCCAGATCTCAACCGAACCTCCAACTTCTGTGACAAAAGACACCCCTAAACAAATGGGAGAAGGGAAAGAGAGTAGAGGAAAGAAATGGAATTAACTGTTTTCTTGGTAGCCTGATAAAAATTCTACAAAGTAGATCTGATTATTGCTATTATAGCAATGAGTAAACTGAGGTCCAAGAAGTTAAGTAACTTGTACAAGGACTTAAAGGGAGTAGAACCTGCCTGTGGACATCCAACTTCTTAGCTCTAAAGTTACTCTCTCTACTACCTCACAATGACTTCCTGGTTGGGTCCCCACTATTCACTGCAGCCATCACAAGAAGATGATCTCCCCTCTGAAAACACATGTTCCTGGATTATACACCTGACCTGATCTTCTGTGGGGTGGCACTTTTCTCATTTTGCTCGTAAAAGGCATAGTGGCAAAGAAGGAAATGCATAGACTGGCATTTAAGACAAATGAGAGAAAAATCCCAGGCCTGCCACTTCCATTACAAACCACATGCACAGTGTTAGAGATACAAAGACCTATTAATTGACACTGAGGAGGTGCTTGTGCATGATCTCTCATACTCTATTTCTCAGTTTGAACAAAGTAGAATAATAATTCCTATCTTGCATGGCTATGTGAAACAAGATGGGATGAGGAAAAGAATCTGGTACAGAGTAGAATAAAGGGGATCTTCAAATTCATTCTAATTTATCAAACCAAGTTCCCCAGGATAGGAATGACTAATATTTAGGGTAGACACTTTCTATCCCCATCACCCAGTAATAAAGACTGGGAAATTGTCTAGAGCATCCCCTATGCAGCACAACCTTAATTCAGAGCTCAGCTCAGCTGGGACAGCCTTTTTTTTTTTTTT